GTGCTCTGTGCAAGAAGCAATCATCCTAGCCCTATGGTTCCTGTATGTTTAATAGCCAACACCTTTCATAGCAATGTTCCCACTTCCATAAATAAGAAGAAAAAAATGTCACTATTTAATCCCATAATGACACGAGAGAAACCAGCCACCCCGTGCCTGATCAAGGCCTCGTTGGGATTTCAGAAGTACTAGACATATCGGGTGTTTGCCATAAATATTGGTTGTTTAATATTCCCAGGCAATGGAAGGTAACCAATAAAAATCATATCTGGAAAATTAAAAGTGGCGGTTGGAATGGGGATCTCTCCTCCTTGTCAAATTCCAATTTGAAGTTAAATTGGGGCTTTCAGTGCTAAGACAGGGACCCTTGACCTCTGAGTAATTACTTTCCCACATCATTTTCTTTAATTTGGAGGAGAGAGTTCTATTCTAAGAATTGCTGGGTATGCTCATTTTGTGAACATGAAGCTACATCTTAAGAAAAGCCTGTTTATTTCTTCCTCCTCGATCAGGACATCCCTCCTCCTAGTGAGGTGTGCTTGCTGCCCATCTGAGTTCTCCTCGCTCAGCACTCTCAGCATTGTAATTACACCAGAAAACTCAAGGGTCATTGAGACTAATGACTCAGCTTCAGCTCCGAACCTCTGCAAGGTTCCCGGAATCAGCCCAGGGGGCAGGGCAAGTCTGAGCAGGAGGTTCCTTACACTGCTGCCCCTGCCTGAGAAGTGGGCTGCTCTCCACATTTAGAAAAAGCATTTGTTGAAGGAGCAAAAAGGGTCTGAACTATGGGAAAAGCACATAGAAAATCATGAAGGTCTGCTATAGCACAGCGTTTGGGGGAGTAGTTCACTCATTCATAACTTGAACAAGTATTTATTGAATACCTACCATATGCCAGGCACCCTGCTGGGTATTAAGGATTAAAAGGAGTAAAACATGCCCCTGGCCCTCAAGGGAGTCCGCAGAATGTAGGGGCATGAATCACAAAACCAGAAAATCTCCTTGCAATGGACCAAGTACAATGGTCCAATGACTGAGAGCGACAGGGGCTCTGAGAGTCAATGGGAGACCAGTTGGGGAGAGACTAGGGCCAGAGGTGCTGAAAACAGCAGCACTTAGTGGGTGATTAGCGGTGGCAGGTGAATGGGAGGGAGAGTCATAAACTGAGTGAATTTGAGACACTTGAGAGACTTTTCACTGGGGGAGGTCATGGTTTTCTTGAGGTCACAGATCATAGTTAACTCACTTCTGAGGCTCTGTGCTGAGTACATAAGAAGTTCTTACAAAATACTAAATGGATAAATAAATGAATATTGTGTATAAAAAAAAACACCTGTGTAGATGTTTCTTGCGTATCATCTCATTTAATTCTCACAGCAACTCTATAAAAAAGGTCTATTATTATCCCATTCTATGGATAGAGCCAGGCCTCCAAAATCTCAGGTATGAGAGAGGAGCCAAGTAGGGCAAGTTCACAGATTAAAGTGAGGAGAGAGAGAGAGAGAGAGAGAGAGAGAGAGAGAGAGAGAGAGAGAACATGGAAACATGCTCAAAATCATAAGTCATCATGGAAATGCAAATTTAAACCACAACCAGACACAACCAGAATCATTATATATCCACTAGAATTGTTATAATCCCAAGGACCAACAATACTAAATGTAGATATATAGATAATGTGGGTCATTTAAATAATCTAGAACCCTCAAACATTGCTGGTAGGAATGTAAAACGGTACAGGCACTATGGAAAAGTTTGGCATTTTCTTACAAAGTTAGACATACACTTTCCACATCTCCCAACAATTCCGCTCCTAGATTTCTACCCAAGAGAAATTAAAATATGTTCATACAAAATCTGTGTGTGAATGTTCATAGCAGCACTATACACAATAGCTAAAAGTTGGAAGTAATTCGAATATCTATCAAGTAGTAAATGGATAAACGAAACGTGGTATTTTCATACAATGTACTGCTATTCAGTAATAAAAAGGAATTAAGTAGTTGCACATCCTAAAACATAAATGAACCTCAAAATACTATTCCAAGAAAAAAACAGTCCAAACACAAAAGACATATGTGAAATTTCCAGAAAAGGCAAATCAAAAGAGCCAGGCAGTAGATAAATGGTTGCTTAGGGCTGGGGCTGGGGACTAGGAGTGGACGGGAAGTGACTGCAAATGGAACTTCGGGGGATGGAGGAAGTGTTCTAAACGGAATTATAATGATGATTGCACAACTGCATATATTTACTAAGACTAATCATTCAATTTTCAAGTCTGTAAATTATACTTCAATGAAACTTTTCTAAAAAAAAAAAAAGGAAGAGAGAGAGAGCTGTATGATTTAGAAGAAGGGGCGGAGGATGTCTCAAATGGGTTGATGAGATATTTGGGGCAGCTTCATAAGAGAACACATTTATGCTGGACCTGGAAGACTAGGGAGGGTTTCAACAGAGAGAAACGGCACATAAAGGCATTCCAGACAAAGAAAGCAGCATGAGAGCGAATGTGCCAGGCATGTTTGGGCAGTATCCAGACAGCCAATTTAGATGGAGAAAAAGAAATGAAAATGAAAAACTTGGTTGCTGCCAGATGACAGAGTGGAGAAGGGGCAGACTAATGCATTTATGTCTTAATTTGGTTGACAGTGGGGAGCCACTGAATATTTGAGAGTAGGGCAGTGTCCTGGCAAAGCTGAACGGGGCAGCAGTGAGAAGTGTGTGTAGGATGGGCGAGCGACCAGGGCAGAGCATCAGATAAAAAGCTCAGAGAACTGGCTGTAGCAAATGAGGGCCAAGCGGTGGCCACCTGCCTGTGTTGTTAATACAAAGAGACAGAGAAAAGTATTGTACGCCATAAAAATAATAGGCCCCATTATTTGGTGCCTTCTATGATCCAGGCACTGTTTTCTGTTTTGTTTTGTTTTTAAACCTGAGGATATTTTTCTATTGATTTTTAAAGAGAGTGGAAGAGAGAGAGAAAGACAGAGAGAAATATCAATGTGAGAGAAACACATTGATTGGTTGCCTCCCACATGCCCCCAGCCAGGGCCCCGGGCTGGGGAGGAGCCTGCAACCAAGGTACATGCCTCTGACTGGAATTGAACCCAGGACCCTTTGGTCTGCAGTCTGACGCTCTATCCACTGAGCAAAACCGGCTAGGGCTATGATCCAGGCACTATTTTAAAGAATCACTTGTGAAGGAGAGAGTGTGAAGACCCTGTGATGTATGAAATAAACAAAGTGGGTTGATGGTCACCTTTAGGTCTGGCTCCAAAGAAAAGGAATAAAGATTAGAGGACTCATAAGATACTTATCTAAGGTGTGCTATGGGAACCACAGATATGGAAGCTTGTAGCTGAAAAAGAAATGGTGATACTGCTAAGGTGAAAGGATGGTAAGTGAGACAAATGACAGAGACCAATTCATGTGGCTCTCTGCCCCAGGAAGGCAGGGGTGCCTGGCACTGCTGGCCCTTTCTCTGATGTCCCCACGCCCTGAACTGTGCATTAATATATACTAAGTACACATGCTTTGACATGAGACAGAACAGATGGGTATAAAGGAGACTGTTACACTCTATTGTTTCTAGTGTAAGTCCTTGTCCATCTAATGTTAGAATAACACTCAGCACCTAATGGTGTATGTCCATGAAGCAAGACCATAGTCTATCCATGATCAGCATCCACTTTTAATTATCTGTCAACACTTAAGTATCAGGACATTGCACATAAAGTTTATAGATTTTCCGCTTCTCTTGAGATGTTGGGAGTTCTGGAAATTATAGGACCCAATCCCACATGGTTTCATCAGAGCTGAGTGGCACTTGTCCTCTTTAAACATTGAGGACCCTGCCTGGAATGCTCATTCATTCACTCAGTCATTCAACAAGTATTTATTGCGCACCCACATGCCAGGCACTGTTGCAGGGTCTGGAGATACGAATGTACAAATCAGACAAAATTACTTACATTCCTAGAGCCTATATTTTCACCAGGAGAGCCCGACAATAACCAGATAAATAAAGGTATATATATATTTTTTTTCAGGTGATAAGTACTAAGCAACTTAAAGAAGAGTAAGGTGTAGAGATTGAAAGAGGATGGAGAGAGGTGGCAGGTACTATAGACAGAGCAGTCAGCAGGGAAGCCTCTCTGAGTAGGTGACACTGAGCCAAAATCTGATTAACATGATGTAACCAGGCCTCAGACTTGAGGGACAGATGGGCCAAGCCAAGGAAATGGCAAATGGAATAATGCTTTATACGTGGGAGGAACACGTAAAGGAATGAGTGAGGGGGCGAGGGCATTTCAGGCCCCAGTGACGGTTTAGATGTCCCTCTGAGTGATGGGAAAGCACTGGTGAGTTTGAGCAAGAGAGTGACGTATTTCTTTTCATGACTGGTCCCTGTAAGCATTAGTTTTTGGCCCTTGGCTTAGAGCACGATGGGCAAGGTTAGAGATAGGCTCTGTGTCTGGAGAGAAAGAACAGACTATGGGGCAGGAATCTCCTGATTTATGGAACATAGTGTTTGTGCAGAAGAATAACCAAAACTTAGCAGCGACCTTGAATTAACCAACATCCAAGGGAAGAGTTAACACACAAGGAAGCCACTTAGAAAACCAAGCTCATGGGACCCGGAGACTGGGCCCTGCTTGACACTAGGCCAGAAGTAAAGTTCCTGGTGAACGTGAGCATGGAGCGCTCTGCTCGGCCTGCTCACAAAGAGCTTCTCTCACTTCTCCCTCTTCGCCAGTGACATTCCCTCCCCACTGCCACACTCAACTCGGTAGACGAGTCCCAAGTCTTGTTTTATTTCAGCAACTTGATTTAACTCACATGGTCTCCCAGCTCAGATAGGAAAACAATCATCTGACCCTTGCACTCCAAAACAAAGCAGTGGTCGGCGCTTGGTGTTCAACATGATCTGGTGTTCCAGAAAATCCATTCCCTGACCATGAACAGTGGAAAACGTTTGACAAGAGGAAGGATCTACTCACAATCAGTTGGTGATCCCGCCCCATCGTGATGACCATCCGGTTCACCGTGCGAAGCAGCTGGACCATGATCTCTTGGATGTGGTGGTAGGTGAAGGCCTGTAACACAGTCAGAGACATCTGTGTGACAACCGGGACATTGTGTCTGCACACCTCATCCAAAGGATATGCAACAGCGGTCAGACATGGTGATCACCAAGATCACCACCAGCAGCAGCATTAGCACCATCACGACCAGCCTTATCACCATCATCATCATCATCATCATCATCACTGTCGTTGTCATATCTCCATCACCATCACCACCAGGCACTGGGCACCAGGAATTCCATTAAGCATCTTAAATATAAGTCAGTAATTAAGAGCTTAAGCTCTGGAATCAGAAACTTTTGATTTAGAATACTAACTGGGTCAAGAATTCTTGTGCTACATGGGCTGCGTTAATTCTCTGCACCTTGGTTTCTTCACCTGTGTGACAGTTGGGATCTAACCTGGAATAAGGACAGAATGTAATGCAGGCCAGTGGTTATACAAGTGATGAAGAAGTTGAGACACAAACAAGATAACCTAGAGATCGGCAACAGCAGGGCGCCACTATCTCCCTAGCCCAGAAGGACAAATGGAGGAGCCAGTGTTGCAGGAGCCCGGGACTGGGGTTTGTGATGGAAACTGTAAGCATGGGGTGCTTGTGCAGTAGAAGCTAAAGGGAATCATGGTGAGCCAGGTTGTGACATTTGTGGAGTTCTGTCCACTTTAAATATAAGTCTCTGAGCCTCCAGCCTCCAGTAGAACTTGTCGATACTTTTTGAGCACTTGCTGTGGTAGGCGAGGGTTTTGTGCATTTTGCACATTCTAAGCTCCTGCACAGAGTATCATCCATGCATAGCTGGGAGGGTGGTCATGGCCAAGTGGTGAGGCCCTGGGATTTTAAATTCAGCATCTCTGGGTCTGGACACAACTCGGCACTTGCATCATGTGACCTCGCTTATCACTTACTTCTCTGAGCCTCAAGTCTTTTATCTACAAAATGTATACGGGTTTCCCACCAGTCTTTCAAGGTTGATGTGAACATGAAAATAGCATGGCAGTTCTGGGAAAATGAACACGCCTCGTTCCACGGCAGGAGAATCTGTGGGTCCAAGATAGAGCCTGGGCATCAGTAATTCATGAATTCTACGCAGCGCATTCTGATGGCTGAGCACCATGACATGACACACTGTGGAGCTCCGGAGACAGCTGGGGTTTGGAAGCAGCCTGTGTCTCCAGGACCTTGGCAGGGCCTGACAGAAGAAAGGGCTGAATAAATGGTGGCTGAAAGGTGGATGGCCCCTCATACTTCTTCATAAGCACCTTATGAAATGTGGCTGCTTTCCATTTAAGTGTGGTTTGTCTCTTAATAGAACCCATGAAAGGAAAATAGATAGATTTGTAGTAAGAAAAAGAACAAAGATGTGCTTATTAAAAACCCTCCTTCCTTCCCAGCAGGCTTTCAATGACTCCAAAGATGAGTAGCCCAGAGATTCCTCCCTTTCTCTCTCTCTCTCTCTCTCTCTCTCTCTCTCTCTCTCTCTCTCTCTCTCTCTCTCTCCTTCTGCACTAATCCCCACTCTCCAGTCCTAGGGAGCTCCCCAGTAGGACCTCTGCCACCAGAGCTTCCACCCAAGCATAATTTTACAGAAACAAGTGCTCATGATCCATCAGACGCCAGTCTCTTGTGGGATTTGAGCCATGTCCCCAACCAGCCCTTTCCCCATATCACGGTTTCCTCCTGACGCTCAGGGGCAGGGGAGAGAACATCTACCTTTAAATCTAGGCTACAGGTGAGACTCTCCTGTGACTTCCTTCTATCCTTTATGTCCTCAAGCCTCTTTTCTGACTTTCAATCTCCAATATTTTATATGCTATAAATGTAATGCTCATGGTAATAAAAATGTTTAACATGTTTTGAAAGCTTACTAAATACCCGGCGCCCTACTAAATAAGACCTCATTCCACAACAAGACGGGCAATATTATGATCTTCATTGTTTAGATGAGAAGACTGAAGCCCAGAGAGGTTAAGTAACTTCTCCAGGGTCACCAGCTAAAAAGTCAAAGGAAAAAGATTCAAACCCAACATTTCTGGCTGCAGAGCCTGCTCCTTGCCCACACTCACCCAGGGGGACTGGAACAGGAGCATAGGTCTCTGGTTACTATGTTGGGGCCTCATCAGCCTCTTTCTACCTGTGAGGATGGACAGCTCCACCCTCCAGCTTGAAGTATTATTACCTTCAGTAACTTCTGATCTTGTCTTTCCCTTTTAGAAAATCATTACTTCCTTGTCCTCTCTGCATTTCTTTGCAATTTCATCAATCTGAGCCCACTGCCAATTCATATAATGGTTTCCATTTGATGCCCCCACCCCCACCCCGGATTATATCTCTCTCCTCCTTTACCAATAGAGATAATAAAACCCCTTTCTCCTGCTTCTTTTAAGTAGCCGTTTCTTCATGCAAAGAGCAGCAATTAGACTGCTCAGGAAGTTTGGTATTCAAAAGTGGGAAACCGTCCAATTTATTTCCTTTCACTTTAGGTCCCAATAGGAGAGGCGGTGCGGCTGAGTGTTCTGGGCTCTGACGGACTTGACTTTGAATCCCAATACTGCTAATTTGAGCTGGTGACCTAGGACGAATTACTTTTCTTCCCCGCATTTCAGTTTCTGTGACAAACAATAGAAGCCTGAAGTGCTGGTTTGAAGAATGAGTAAAGGAATGCAGGTCAAGCCCTCGCTGCCCAGGGTGGACACATAGTAGGTCCTCAGTAAGTGGCGGCTGCAACTCCTATCCCCCTTGGTCTTCAGCTGCGTTCCGGCCAAGCTTGCAGATTCCCAGCACGCAGCAGCACGTGCAGTAAAAGGCAATGCATAATCTAAGCTCTGGATAATATCGAGATGTCGCCCAAAGAACGTATAGCGTATATGCAAATGGAAAACTTTCAAGATGATAAACCTGTGCTAAGCAGCAAAAATGCAGCCACAAATCACCCACTGTTAATTGCTCCGCTGCCAGGCAAGTGGAGGAATCTCTGCGGAAGTGTCTTCCGGGCTCGAACTAAACGGTGGCTTGTAATTGAAATGACAAAGTCAGTCTTCCCATTATGGCCCTGGCAAAGAAATCAATCCAGCCAACCTAAACACACTGCAAATTGTAGCGGAGTTGTTGTTTTTTTTTTCTTTTAATAATTATAGGCTGTGTGTGATATCTGGAAGGGACCTGGGGTCCGTTCGTTAATCTTACCCATAAGCCCAATACATAACAGTAAAAAGAGGGATGACATAAGTCAGTCAGGAAAAGCTAAGAACCATATGATTTCACTCCTCTGTGAGATATAAAACTGAAACTCACAGACACAGACAACAGTATGGTGGTTACCAGGGGGAAGGGAGCAGGGGAGTTAGGGGAGTAGGGGGCCAGGTATATTTTTAAAGGAAGGAGGAAAAACAAAGAAGGGTGAGAGGGAGGAAACTGAAAGAAGGGTGGGTAGGTGGCTGGGGGGAAACCCCTGTCTTCTTGGCTCACCCTGGGCCCTGTGCCAGCCCTCAGACTTTGTAGAATGCAACTCAAAATAATTAATTTCCGAGTATTTCCAGAATAATAATAGAGCATACCATATATGAGAGGATTTTAGGAAATAATATACAGACACAGAATTTCACAACATTGAATCTAATTCTGTAAAAGGTGTCCCCTATTTTCATTTTTCTTTCAACCCTTTTGATGATACCAAGTAGAAAAGAACCCCTTTGGTGCTAATATATCTTTAACACCTGTCTGTTCATGCAAAACAAAACAACCAGGGGAGGCCTCGGATCAGAGCTGACAGACAACAGCATCTTCTTAGAACCTAATAACATTGTTGTATTGTGTCTATATATAGCAAGTGTTCAGGAAAAGACTCCAAACCTGAAAATAAAGCAAAATAAGAATTTCTTAAATTTTTAATAGCGTATTTCTGAGAAGCCCAACTGGGGGAGTCCTCTTACTCTCTTGGAAAATGTAATTTTGTTTCAGCATCCACAACTGAGTAGCAAACAGAAATATTAGAGCTCCGTAAAGCCAGAGGCTCACTTGTAGAACAGTGATAAAGTGTGACATTTTCTAGTTTGCTAAAGTTTATAGCTCTATTGGTCTGTAAAAATTTTATGGGTTTTATATCTAAGCCCAACTCAATATAAGCATCTCCTCTCCCCAACTTTAAGAATCCTAAACACTTTTGAACTAGCTATTTCTTTGGTCAGCTTTTCCCCCAGTTTAATAAATAAAACTTTGAAATGTGCTCACTACCTAACTACATAAGATGATATTCTTAATCATTTGAAGATTCCACTTTTACACAAGTAATGCTGGCTACTTAATGGTGGTAATGTTAATTTTTTTTAATCAGTGTTACAAATGTGTATAGTTTAGAAACGCTGTCCGATGTTCATCATTAAAAAAACAAAAACAAAAAAGAACAAAAAACAAAACAAAAACCCAGCCCGGCTAGTGTGGCTCAGAGCATCAACTTATGAACCAGGAGGTCACAGTTCAATTCCCAGCCAGGGCACATGCCTGGGTTGTGGGCTCCATCCCCAGTGTGGGGCGTGCAGAAGGCAGCAGATCAATGATTCTCTCTCATCATTGATGTTTCTATCTCTCTCTCCCTCACCCTTCCTTTATGAAATCAATAAAAATATTTAAAACAAAAACAAAAACATCAGTCCCTCATGTCCCCCTACCAGAGGACGATCTTTATTTCTTTTAGCATATGTAGTTGTTACTTTGGTACTTATGGTCATGTGGCCAAAACTATGTATTACCTCTTCTTTAAACAAATTCGTTCACTTTTTGGCGTTATCTATTAAGCCTCTGCCATAAAAGACAAGGATTTAACCCTTGTTGCTCCCCCACTCAGCCCCATTAGACACCTATATTCTTTCCATGTCTCCTTCCTCCTATAAAGTTATAGTATAATTTTTGTTGGGTTGATATTTTGTGTTTAAAATATTTTGATATGTAAACGTCATCCCTATCCAAGTTGTAAACAAATTCCCATTTCTTGTACAACTTTTCATTCCCCCAA